ATAAGGAACGGTACACTAAAAGAAGCGTATCCGAATTAACACAGTGACGCAGATTCCTAAAAACGTAGATCAACTTCCTAACTCTTCCACAAATATTGTCGATGTGAGGTTTCCAGGTTAGTCTATCATCCACTAGACCACACCAAATATCTCACAAATCTAGTTCTCGAGAGAATAAAGCAGCCACAATTTGAAGTATCATTGCAGACGTGAGCTTTGATAGAGTCTGTGCCAGCTGGAGGCTCGGTGCGAGACAGGTCAAAACGAAGGTACGTGGTTTTGTCCATGTTGAGCGTTAGTAAATTTGTAGAGAGCCATTCCATAATCACTCTCAGAGATGATTCCGCTCTCAATTTTGCCCAAAATATGTCTGAGAAAGGAAGTTTTAAGTTGCATTGCCTTGTAAAGAAAGAATAGTGTATGCTACTGAATACCGCGTTTATTCAATTTAAAACTTAGAAATTACTGTAGCCCTGAAAAGGGCTGTTTTAGTTGTAGCCCAACGACAAGAGCTGTCTTAGTTGAAGCCCTGAAAAGGGCTGTTTTATATGTAGGTGTCCCTACATATCTGAACCCAGGATTGCGAGCGGGTCTGGCAAATTTTCGAATTCCGCCATCGTCACAGTGGTCTCTTCCTCTTGAAAACCTACCTACCTACCTCAACCCAAGCGTACCTGATGAGATTCACGTTTTACTTGATGACTCTTGTTAAGCACTTACATGGGTAACAAAACAAATGACTCATCAACGGATGTCATCCATTACAAACAGTGCTTAAAGCCTAACAACCCAGTATAAACTAATCTGAAGGTAATTAAAAATGCCGGAAATAAAAAGTATAAATTTTAGGCTAAATTATTACATGGGAACACACAGTTAATACAGAGCTGATTTTTTTTCATATGATACATAACAACATTCCTGATAACTTTTATTGTTATGTTATTTCTTGAAAAGCTGATTATTTCAGAGAAAAAAATTTGTAGTTTTTTTTTGTGTGTAGAAATAAACTTTTTATTTTTTATCTCGAAATGTAGGAAAATGTAATGTATGTGGTTAATTTACAGTATAGGTCCACTCATTCTCGTTCAAGAAAAAAAGAATCCATCTGCAGGTACTTGCGGCTTTACGAGTAAAAAGGTGTCAAAATTTTAGATTTGTTATTTATTTTTTAACACAATATACTAGTTTCTATTTAACTTTCATGTTATTGTTATAACACTCTCTAAATTACACTAAAATTAATTTTTCTTTAGTCGAAGCTCATACATTTTGTTAAAAAAGTACATAAAAGAGTTAGCAATTTTGCCGCACCTTTACTTACAAAGCCGCAAGTACGCATGGAGACGGATTATTTTTTTCTACATAGAAAATGATTGGAACTATTCTGTAAGTAATCCACGTACATTACATTTTCGTATATTTTGAGATAAAAAATAAAATGTATATTTTACATACAAAAAAAATTTTTTTTTTCTCCGAAACTATCAACTTTTCAAGAATATTCAAGAATAATATAATGGATTTTAACTTATTATTAGGAATCCATCATAAAATCTATCATATAAAAAAAAATTTGCTCGTCACTCCACAAGTTATTCCTATGTCCAAGAATTATCAATTTGGGCCCACTGTGCGCCACCGCAAACGGATGACAATTTAGACTTCCTTTAGGTATATATATTTAGGTTACATTCATTGACTTACAATTATAATGGACGTTGGGTCCGCGCTAAAAAGTGTCCGCACTTGTAAGGCGCTAAAATCGTATACAGAGCGCGACAGTCTTCATTTGTTCTACTGACAGCGCGATACTGCGATGACATTACAATTTAAATTTCGAATAGGTTGACTTGGGACATTTTTTTCGTGGTTTTTGTATTAGACCCGTCGTCCATTTATTTGTAAGTCAATGGTTACATTGCACAGATTTTTATAGATACTTCCAAGTATTCTTTTATTTTGATTAGGATTAGCGCCATCTAACCATATTCGCAAGCGTTACGTTATTAATTAGTTAAAAACGAACAATGCCATCTATTGATACGCATAAATATCGAAGTTCAGAAAATAATTTTAGTTTATTACTAAATATTTGAAAAACATTACAAGAAAAATAGAATAACTACTATATTTCATATAAAAGAAGAATTAATCGATATCCACGGCCTATTACGTAAATATGAACTAATTCCAGGCTATCGATCAGCGCCATCTAGATATAAGACGGCATTTTGACCTTTTTCAGAGCTACGATTTTTAATATGGAGATTAGCAGTCCTCTTGAGTTATTGGTCCATGATATTAATAATTTAAATGTAGGTGAAAGAAGCACAGTGCACAACTTTAGAAAATGACTTTAATGACTTTTTAAACTTTAGTCAGAGGTACACTGTTTCTTAAAAAAATCACAACTAGAATATTTATGTATTAAGTATATTTTATGAAGTTTGATTAAGAGTATATTCGGTTCAATTTATACACCGTTTAGCTGCTTTGTGCATCACTTACCCAATATATCGAAATTATGAATTATTATATTAGGGTGATTTTCAGGTTAGTTTTATCTGCCTAATTTCGGGGGCAACTTTTATTATTTAAGTATTCGAGTATATTACCGTGAAATTTCAAATAATATTTTGTGATACTATACTCGAATATTAAATAATAATTGATGATAATATTCTAAAATACTTAAATAATAAAAAATGCCACCGGAATTAGGTAGAGAAAACTAACTTGAATAGAACCTCATTACTTTATTGTACTAAACAAACAAAAAAATGCAAATCGTATAAAAGATGGGTGGACTTATCTCTTCCAACCAACCCAAGGTAGTGAGAGAGGAAGTAATAAGTGGGCAACAGCGTGCTAGATAGAAAGGAGGAGAAATATTATAAACTAACAGATGTATATATAAGATAAAAAGTACCGATATTAGTTTACATAAGTATTTTTAATACAAACAATATTATAACTTATAATAAATAACTACCATTACATTTATAAAAAAGTTGGGTATTGTCATTCATTTGTAATACTTGTATTAATATTATTTTTGTTCAAAAATTAAGGTTCGTGGAGGAATCTGACCGAGGCGTAGACCATAACCAATCTTGCTTCTACCCGAGCTGCATCGCGAATCGCTGGTTGGCAGTGCGGCTGGAGATGATTGGCAACTTCATCATATTCTTTGCTGCGCTGTTCGCCATACTCGCACGCGAAGATATCAGCCCTGGTCTCTTAGGGCTCTCTGTCAGCTACGCCTTGCAGGTCTATCTGCTTACCTCTCAATGTATGCAGTTTGCTGTATCTGTCTCGATTAATGTTACAATCACTCATCATTTACTGGTAGACTACGTAATGAATTTACTTTATTGCCAACTTTTATCGAAATCGATTTAGAAATTTACTATTTCATATTTTTAATCATTTTAATATTTTCAAGAACATTGATTTGTTATATCTTTGTTACTTTACGGGAATCACGCCAGTAAAGCGCTAAGCCGGCATGATTTTTTTTCGTCAAATTCAACATTACACAAAACCTAAATACATTATACACCTAAACCTTCCTTATGAATCACTCTGTCTATTGGTGGAAATCGCATGAAAATCCATTCAGTACTTTTTGAGTTTATCACGATCAGACAGACAGACAGACAGGCGCGGTAGTGATAATATGTAGTGATGTCGTGATTGATTACATCTATATTTGAAACATAAATAAAATAAATAAATAAATAAATAAAATGTACAAAAATGGTTTAGGAAGATTATTGTTATGCGGTGCAGTGCGGCCCACCATAATGTGCGTGAGGCACTATAATATTAGGTACTTTGAGTTATTTCTTGTTATCAACATTAATTTTTTGTCACGATTGGCCGCCCTAGGCCCGGGTCTACGGGACCTTAGGGCAAATCCACCACTGTTAAGTTGTGTTTTTTCTGCGATTTCTCTAAATCTTTTGTTCTTTTTCTGAATGATTCATGTCATAAAATTTTAAATGTATACGTTATAGATACGTTAATAATTTTTCGCCAAATATTTACTTTCCATGTATTGTTTTCCAGAAATAAAGTCGGTTTTTTACTTAGGTAAACAATATTCGTCCACGAGGATAAAATAAATACTAATAAGTAAAAATAATAATTGAATGCTAATTACGATAATCCGAATTATAGAAGAATTACCCTAGGGTATTAAACAGAACTAATTTTCTATTTAAGATCACACAAACCTTGAATTGGCTAGTGCGAATGACCGCTGATGTGGAAACCAACATCGTAGCGGTAGAAAGAATAAAAGAATACGCTGAAATTGAACAAGTAAGTTTTATCATAATATACATACATATTATCACGCCTGTCTCCCGCCGGGGTACGCAGAGACTATGAACCTCCATCTGCTACGCTCCTGACAAACCTCCTTCGTGTCCTCCACTCCCATCGGTCTCCTCATATGTACACGTCCGTTTATTCTTGGTACTTAACATCCCCAATCCGATTGAGATAATATGTACTCCGAGGTCTACGTTTCCCCCACACCTCTACATCACACATATTAAATAATATTTAATCATAATTTTTTTTATACATGAAAATAACATCCAAATATAAAATAATTATGTATTATTATAGGAAAAAAAATGTTAGACTTCGTAAATTGCCTCTGTGGCCGAACGGCTACAGGGTTCGATTCCCGGGCCGGGAGAATTATTTATGTGGTCTACATTTATTTCTCTCGTGAGTTTGGGTGTCATTTGTGGTTGCCTATGTGTGTCCAATAGTGTCCATGGCACTGACTATACAGGGTTTTCCTAGTGCAAAGGCTATGAGTGTGTGCGTTATTATTATTATTATTACCACTTATTATTATTACCAGGCTATCAGCGCAAAACCTCAATTCATCTGTGTTTACGCTACTTCAACATGGCATGTTGCCGCGATACAACATGATAATTTTATCCAACAATCGTTTTCGTTCGCTTCGCAACGACGCCGCATCAGTGGTGCCTGATGTAAACATGAGACAGTCCGATTCGGCTCACGTGTCGGTTGGACCACTGAGGCACGCGTGCAGAGCCCCCCCAAAACGTTCGCCCCGCAGGAGGCGGAGTGGAACCTCCCCAACGGGCCGGGCTCCACGTGGCCCGAGACCGGCGCGCTGCAGCTGGAGCAGCTGACGCTGGGCTACCGCGCGGGCGAACCGGCGCTGCGCGGCGTCACCTGCAGCGTCGCGCCCAGGGAGAAGCTCGGCATCGTCGGACGCACCGGCGCCGGCAAGTCCACCCTCACTCTGGGACTCTTCAGGTAAGCGCGTTTTATTTAACAAATTGGGAATGCTAAGGATGCATGATAGACGAATTTTAAACAGTTTTTTGTTATTTTATTTATTGAGATTTTTTGTGATATAACTCCACTAGTTTTGTTATGACAATGAATACAAAGATTGAAGACACAAAATTTTCGTCGAACCGGTGGGACTTGAACCCACGTCCTTGCTCCACAAAAAGAAATTTCTGTGTGGTCTATCTTTATGATAACAAAACTATTGGAGTTATTTCACAAAAAATCTCAATTTTTTGGTCGAAAAAGCGACATCTGCGTCAGTTATCACAACTGTAACCTGTAAAGGTATCGGCGGCGATGAGAAGGTTAATTTACGTGTCTTCGTTGGGACTCTTCAGGTATACGCGTTTTTTTATCAGACCATAATGTTCCGTCATCTATTACGAGACAGACGGAGAGAAAGGCGGTCGAGATACAACAACGCTATAAGTATCTCATTTTCACTACAACGGGAAGTATGCCTTACATTTTTAACAATTGTGAGATCTTGTAATTGAGCCTCCTACGGTGACGTGCGGACGTGTCGGGCTTCGCCCTCCGCTGGACCTCGGCTTACGACGTCGGCACTTATGACTTTATTAAAAAAAAAAACCTATATTGTTTTTATTTTAATTTGTGGTTGTCTATGTATCGGCGCTCATGATAGAGATCAAAATTTCCAGAACGGAAGCGATCAATCCAAAAACGCATTGTGCGCTTACTTGCCCTACCTGCTTCATACATGGGGCGCACTATAAGTTTGCGGAAAGAATTAGAAAAAAATACTATAAATGGTCAGAAATAAATTTATTGTTTCACAAAATATTCTCCGTTAGCGTTAATGCACTTTTTCATACGAATGAACCAATTTTGAAAACATTTATGCCACTCTTCCCTGATAATCTCCGAAACATATTTTTTATACTCTTCAACAGCCTCTTCAGGTGATGAAAATCGTTGACCGAGTAACTGGTTCTTATTTTTTGGAAATAAATAAAAGTCACAATGAGCCAGGTCGGGACTGTACGCGGGATGGCTCATAAGGTCGACGTTGTTCATCTTCAAAAATTCATTTGTCTGTCTGGCCATGTGAGAACTGGCATTATCGTGGTGCAAGATGATACGGCATTTACGGTTATTTTTACGGAGTTTGTCAATAACTTCTGACAAACAAATGGTTGTGTACCAATCACTATTCACTGTACAACGATTCTCCAAAGCAACAGTAGCCAAGTGTCCGGTTTTATTAAAAAAAGAAGGAATCCGCTTAGAGGCACTTTGCACGCGCCCCACTTTGGTTAGTTTCGGCTCATCTCGAAAGACCCATATGTTAGATTGTTGTTTTGTTCTGAGATGGTAAGTATAAATCCATGTTTCGTCACCTGTTACTATGTCCCACTTCAAATTTGACGCCCCTTCGCTGAATCTGGTTAGCATGGCATTGCACCAAGTGACGCGATCCGTTTTTTGAGCTTCAGTCAAATTGTGTGGGATCCACAGAGAGCACAGCTTTTCATACCCAAATGTTTGTGTAGTATTGATTGTATTTGACTCATGCCTATGCCTAAAGATGCTCGAATCTCATGGTATGTCACATACCTGTCTCGCTTTGATCATACGGCCCACAGCATCGATGTTTTTGTTGTTCACAGCAGCGGACGGGCGACCATCACTGACATTCACACGACCGCATTTGAGTCGTCTTGCATAGTGCTTCATCGCCAAAAGCAGTTTGAACCCGAGGGAAGCTCCGCTGAGCTGTTAGTAACCCTTAAAGTCGTAGAAAATCATACTATGAAAATATTCACGAGTTAAATCCATGGTGATGTAGACAACCAATTTCTAAAATGACGCCATAATGTAAAAACAAGTGACAGTCAGATGAAACAAAATATATCCTACAGCCAAAGAGTTCCATTTTCAAATGTTGTAAATTCTTTTTAAATATCGTTTATGTAAGTGGCCAGTTCCGGAAACTTATAGTGCGCCCTATGTACATGCCGTCTGTGGTGTTTTGGTGCCACGACAGAAATCGTATTCGAAAATAACACGCGATTTCGATTTTTCCATTGTCACAGAAACAGCTAAATCTTTACTACTAAGAAAATTTTTAAAAGGAATACGATAGCTATATTGTAACTAAAATTTGAAACTCTTATGTAAAAGGAATGAGATCGAACTTGAAACTTCCCAATACTTGCAATCGGCTATTTCATAGGTAAGGACCTAATAAATAAATAACGCACACACTCATAGCTCCGCACTAGGGAAACCTTCTGTCGCAGGTGCCATGTACACATATGTACGTAGACAACCACAAATTACACCCAAACTCATGAGAGAAAGAAATGTAGGCCATACAAATATTTCTCCCGGCCCGCGAATTGAACCCAGAACGCCTGCGTGGCAGACCAGCATGGTAACCATTCGACCACGGAGGCAGTTCATATAGTGTATATAAATCGAAATGATGATTCGTCAGTCATAAACCTTACTTAGCTGACATAGATAGGCCCATATCTATGTACTTTCGTTTTGTTTATAGGGACCCTCTCCATCGACCCTTAAGGTATTAGAGAAGAAAGGCACTATAACGTGTGCGTGCACAGGAACCTTCAGAGTTCAGTTTCTGACCCAAGATCAGCCAGTGTACTGGGTTGTTACAGACCGTTGTCACTGACTTCATCCGGTTCTCAAGAGGCTAGTGCCTTGGGTGAGCCGCACGGTGGGCTGAAAAGTTTTTTTTTAAAAATCATCATAATATTTTCATTTAATTTTACATGTGAAACGAAATGATTTAGTCTTTGAGTTGAGGAACACAAACTTTTTACAACACGTAACATAAAATACTATCACCCCTATATTCCCAAAGAGTAGGCAGAGGTTTACAGTACACCCACACTTAGACAAATATTGTTTAGTTTTATAATGAGTCTAAAAACAAATGATTAAGTAAGTAATTACAACGATATTGTCTTCTAATGAGTTAGAATAGGTGATTAAATGATTCTCAATACCGCACAACAATGCCAACTATGGACTTAATTAGGCTTTTTCTGATGAGTAAGCTAATTTGTTGATTAGTTGTGCTTTCAGTTCTAAAAAAATATATATATTTTAAGCGCACATATTTTTAAACTGTAATGAGTACCCTAGTACAGATATTCTATCTCACGAAGGCGGGTGAGCAATAGTTGTAGTAGTGACGTGTACAGATAAGCGCCTTTGTGTGCGTAAGTTCACGTAGCGATAGCATAACAATCGTAAATATTTTTTAATTATTAATTTTCGTTTGAAACTTATACACTCGCGAGCAACCAAATCGACTCAAGCGCTACCTCTACATTCAAACATTGTTCTATATAAAAGTATACAACATTTCAATAAAAATAATATGCCATTTGAAAGCTTGAAACCTAAGCTTTAAAAAAATATCAATATCAATAAATAAAACAAGTACCAACATGTTCATTTGCGCAATTAGGGAGAATGGGACTAATTACTACCTACGCTACCTGCTAGTTGCGCTACCCTCTACCCCTATAAAAACCCCCGTGACCCTTGAATCCTTATCAGTCGCTTATCAACAGTTGACCGATACACATCTCCGCAACCTACATTCATTGTTTTCAAGAAACCATGGATACCACACCTCAAGAAGCCGCTCAAGTTGTTGCCTTATTGCAACAAGGACTCAGTCAGCGAGTAGTGGCTTCCCAGCTTCACTTGAGTCAATCTGCTGTATCCCGAGTATACCGACGGTATCAAGAGACTGGAACATTCACTCGGAGACCAACAACCAGCCGCCACCGTTGTACTTCTGAAGGAGACGACCGTTTCATTGTCTCAACCACCCTGCGAAATCGGCACCTTACGGGTGTCGACGTGCAGGGCGAGCTGAGACGTGTTCGAGGCGTAGCTGTCAGTGAGTGGACAGTAAGAAGTGGACGTCTGAAGGAAGCCAATCTGTCTCCAAAAAGGCCTGCAACAGGCCCCAAATTGACTGCAGGCCACCGGCAAGCTCGGCTACAGTTTGCTCGAGAGCATCTTAACTGGAGCTTTGGGCAATGGCGGTCGGTCCTATTCACTGACGAGTGCAGGATGTGTCTGCATGGCAGTGGCAGGAGAGGCCGGGTCTACAGGCGTCCGGGAGAGCGATTTGCCCAATGCTGTTTCGCAGAAACCGTTGCCTATGGTGGCGGTTCTTGCATGATGTGGGCTGGTATCTCGTTGGAGGTTAAAACCGAACTCGTTTTCGTGCCTGGAGGAGGCCGAGGAGCGGGACTGGGAGCTGATGGGTACATTACAAATATTCTCCTGGAACATGTTGTGCCCTACGCAGGATTTGTTGGCGAAGACTTCATCCTAATGCACGACAATGCTCGATGCCACACAGCACGCGTTACTCAGGAGTTCCTTCAAGAAGTCGATTTGCGCACAATGGACTGGCCTGCGCTAAGTCCAGACCTAAATCCCATCGAGCATTTATGGGACGAGCTCAAACGAAGGGTACGAGCAAGAAATCCAGCTCCTTCGAGCCTGGAAGAACTGAAGGCAGCTTTATTAGAGGAGTGGGAAGGTATTCCTCAAGACAACGTCAAAAAACTAATAAGATCGATGAAGAATCGATTACGTGCTGTAATTAGGGCTAGGGGAGGCAATACCAAATATTGAATTAATAAATTTTATACTTCTTAAGAAAAAAACGTGTTTTATTTGTGTCAAACTCCTTTACCCAAAATCCCATTTTTCTCCCATTTAAGTTCAGACACCGGTAATAAAAAAAAGTATACATGGATATTAATAATGACGACATTTCCTAAAAGCTGAAGTTTCAAGCTTTCAAATGGCATATTATTTTTATTGAAATGTTGTATACTTTTATATAGAACAATGTTTGAATGTAGAGGTAGCGCTTGAGTCGATTTGGTTGCTCGCGAGTGTATTATAATTTGTTAAGCTTGTCAATTGTTATTACTTAGTATATAGGTATAATAAAATAAAATAGGTAGATTGCATACAAATATCATTTATTCAAAGTCTGAAGACGATTCTGTCATGCTGTCGTCATCACTATCATCTTGCAAATTTATTACAAATTCAAAATCTAAATCAAAATATTTTAAATATTCTTTTTCTATTTTTTCAACACGGCTACAAGTATTACGCCACGTTTCGCTGCTGACATTATCAATACTTTCATTTATTAATATGTCTGTACTTGTTATATTTTGCTCGATGTTTCTCGAAGCAATGTAATTTTTTATAATTCCCCATGCGTTTTCGATAGCGTTTAATTCTGGATGGTAGGGGGGAAGGCGTAAGACATCAAATCCTTTGCTTTTGATGAACTCGTCAATTTTAAATGTTACAAACTCTTTCTTATGTTTTTTTATTATGTCGTACAATTCCACTTTTCTCAGACTTTCATCAAACCCTATGCCTTTATTTGTGAGCCATTGTTGCATCTCATCTTTTCTTGATGCTGATGTCGGTATTTTTTCAGCACGCGTGTTGTGATACGACGCATTGTCTAAAACTATGACAGAACGGGCAGGCAAATTGGGCAACAGTTTCTCGTTGAGCCATTTGACGTAGTTTTCGTAACTCATATTTGAGTGATAATCTCCCACTGTCGAATTGGCCTTGTACATCAATTTCGCATTTTTTATAAATCCATCTTTTGTGCCCGCGTGCACTAAAATAAAACGGATACCTGTGCTGATTTTTTTTAAAAATGGTGTGGTTTCTTTTTTTTTCGCCCAGGTATTACTACGCACATGCGTCGTTAGGACGTAACTTTCGTCAGTGTAGACAATTGGTCGCTCTTGAGAGCGATATTCTGCCATCTTTTTTAAATATTTTAATCGCCACATTTGTATATCATGACGCTCTACCAAAACTTTTCTATTGTTTTCAATTTTACGCCACTTGTACCCCAATTTCTGTAACAATTTGCGAAGTGTTTCTAGGCAACCGTCAAAACCAATTTTTTCAGATAAAACTGATTTTATTTTAACAAGTGTTGGAATTTCTTTATGTGCAATGTGGAAATTGTTTATTGTGCTCCGAATTACATCTGCTGTAAGATTATCTATTTCCATTTTATTATCTCTCTTCCTTCTCTTTTTCATGGGAGATGTAAAATTCGAGGAAGTGGATGGCAACTCTTTCTCTTCTTTTAATATACGCTGCACCGTTCGTAGGCTAACGCCTGTGGCATCAGCAGTGCGTTGTGATATGTTGCGTAAGTGAGATAAATCACAATTTGGTTCTTGATTCGCTATAGTAAATTCATATTCTTCTTTCAAGAAATGATAAACGCTGGCTATCATGCTTCGACCCTAAAACAAAAGAATATAGAAATTGTTAACAGATGTAGAATTAGAAAAACAAATTGTTAACAAATATCGGCAATATAAAAAAAGATTGTTTCTGCGAAAATAGAACAGGCGGGTAACAAAAGAGAGGTTATAAAATATTGTCGGCAAAGTAAACAGGAAAAGAAAACAAAGCTTTTGAAAGTTTGCTCCACACGTGGTCTAGGTTACTGTACAATACTAGACATTGAGATTCTATATTTATTTATAAACTAACAAATTATTAATTTTAACGGGCAAGTAAACCTAATCTAACCATACTATTAATTATTTTGATTATTCCAAAAAAAGGCTTACATTATTTTAAATTCATATAACGCAACAAAAAATAACGATATATTACTATAAAATAAAAATAATGTCTTATTATTATTATAGAAGAGAAAATTACAATACCTCACTACGGACGACTTTTCTTTGTTTTGTTTCCATGCTGACGGTACTCATTTGGACAATCTGACGCGAACACAATTAGCACAAGTGATCTGGACGAGCTCGAGATCGCAACTGAGCGCTCCTGAGCTTACGCACACTAAAACAATGTGCATGTACACGCGTAACAACACCTTTGGCTCACCCGCCTTCGTGAGATAGAATATCTGTACTAACTAGTTAGTTAATTATCGACTTTTTGCAATAAAAGGGCTAACATTTTGCTTAATAATTTATATCGTTCACTACTGTGTAACTGCTGACATTAAATCTTTGCTCAAAATTTGAAAATGGAAAGTTTATCACCAATTTAGACTTGTTCGTTTTTCTAACAAGTGAGAGTACTTAATTTAATCATGAAGTATTGTTTGGTGCTATTGTATCCCGCATAGGCGATTGCCTTTCTGATGAAGATCAAGTAACTCTGAAAGAGTTTTGTCGGAGATTCACGCGAGCTGCATTACAGAGGTGGAAGAAATCCAATCGATTCATTAATAATTTCAGAAGACTATACGGGAATTGGCTGCAAGCAAATATTGATTGGCCAAGTTGTGTGCAAACTTTACTTCATCAAGAACCAACTGCTGATGAGTTATCAGACATACACTCAGTCTCTCAAGAACCGTCTACTTCATCGTGTGTTGGAACAATGACGAAAAGGTCGCGAAAACCATTCGAAGATCTGGGAAGCAAACAAAAAAAGATAAGATCTGATGATCATGCAGATGAAAATTCCAGTGAATTAGCATATGCAGCTGCAACACGTTCGAAAGAAGAAGGGCATGATGATATCGCATCTGTAATCGAGTATATGATGAAAAATCCAGAAGCAGCCGTTACAATTAATAAAACGCTTAAGAAACCATTGAAAACAGTCATATTTACACCAGAGAAAGTGCTTGGATTGGTTCTTTCACTAAAACTGTCAAAGTGGCAATATATTACGTTGGGAGAGGCTGCCATTCGGGAAGGTGCTGAGGGTATTTATGCATCCTACTATAAAGTGCAACAAACCAAGCTTGATTGCTGTCCTCCGAAGCAATCAGTATCAGTTACGGATTCATCGGCCAGGATTACCCTTCAAGCTTTACTTGACATCACGGTGACTAGGATCCTTCAAAGTCTTTCTGATGATGTGCAAAATAAACAGCTAAAGCTAATATCTAAGTGGGGATTTGATGGTGCTTCCAACCAAAGCCGATACAAACAGAAAATGGAAGGCGAGCAAGATGATTCAAGCATTTTCATGACCACATTAGTGCCATTAAAACTGACAGATGGAGATAATACTTTATGGACGAACCCAAAACCTTGCTCGGCTTTGTATTGTCGTCCAGTTCAGTTTACTTTTGTAAAAGAGAGCGAAGCAGTTGTCATTGATCACAAAAGACAAATGGATGATGAAATTAAGGCCCTTATCCCCACAGAATGCAGTAATAGTAACAGTGTGACTCATCAACTAATGATGACAATGATCGACGGTAAAGTCTGCACTTATCTTTCTGAAGCCAGATCAAATGCATCGTGCTACCTGTGTTTATCGAAACCAACAGAAATGAATCGCTTAGATGCTGTAACATCAAAGACCGTGTGTTCTGATATATGTGAGTTTGGCTTGTCATCCCTACATGCCCGAATAAATTGCATGGAATGTCTGTTACACATTGCATACAGACTTGACTTCAAACAGTGGGCTGCGAGAAGTAATGAGCACAAAGAAATGTTGCAGACAACAAAGAAACTGATTCAAAATAAATTTAAAGATGAGCTCAATCAGTTGATTGATATAGTGAAACAAGGTTCAGGAACTACGAATGATGGGAATACAGCCAGAAAGTTTTTCGAGTTTCCCAAAAAAACTGCAACTATTACCGGGTTGGATGAAGAACTTATCAAGAGATTTGCTGTTATTTTGCAGGCAATCACATCTGGAGAAAAGATTGACGTTGTCAAATTCAAAGATTTTGCCCGCAAAACAGCAGAAAAATACGTGGAATTATACGACTGGTATTACATGTCGGTAACTGTGCATAAATTATCAATTCACGGGGCTGACATAATAGAGAAAAACGACATTGTGCCTATTAGGGACTCTTTCGGAAGAAGCCTTAGAGTCTCGAAATAAGATTTCAGGAGGTTCCGGGAACATCATTCACGGAAAAGAAGCAGGCAAGATTCAAATCAAGACATCCCGAATATGCTTCTTGTGTCTTCGGATCCTGTTCTAAGTGCACAAAGGCCTAAATTAGATACCAAGAGAAAGCACAGCTTTTTTGCTGAAACTCTTGATCTAATTCAATTTCAGCAGACTGAGTTCGAGTTTTTGGATATCTCCAATCTGGATTCTGACTCAGAATTGGAGTCCAACAACGAGAGCGATAAGGAGAATTTGTAAATTTAATTACATATTATGATTTCTTGCTAATTTTGTAAGTTTATTGTACCAATAGGTTTAAGTAGTAATTAATTCATCAAATTAGTCATTAAAATATTTTGTGTGTTGTATTTAAAGTAGGTACTGCTTTTTTAAAATATTTTTTTGGTTTTTAGATATTTATGTAGTTAACTAGAAATGTTTCATTTTTAGTTTTGTCTTGGTTAGGTTTTCGTATAGGTGCTTAGGTATTTATTATTTGATATAAGTGTAATTTTTTTAATTTTGTTTCAGTTTAATAATATTACTTGAAAGTTTTATTGTATGTTTAATTTTTTTTATACAATTGTAAGTTGTAACTTCATTTGAATTAAAATATTTTTTTTTATGTATTTTATAATATTTTAATATTTTTGTAACCTCTGTTTTATTTAAATTATTAATAAAAAATAATAAGAAACATATATTTTTTATTTCATCTTGTTTTGTATATTCTTATTATTTGGAAATACTACGTTCTTAACTTAGACACTAAAAGGAGAAACAGTTCCTTTTAGTGTGTAACTTAAGAATGCATATAAATAAACAAGAATATTTTAACAATTAAATAGGTAGTTGTAATTACTTAATCCCTTGTTTTTAGATTCATTAGAAAACTAAACAATATTTCTCTAAGTGTGGGTGTACTATAAACCTCTGCCTACTCTTCGGGAATATAGGGGTGATGCTATTTTATGTAAAAAGTTTGTGTTCCTCAACTCAAAGACTAAATCATTTCGTTTCACATATACATATAATTAAATAAAAATATTTTGATTTAAAAAAAAAAACGGCATTTATGACCGTTATCTGGAGTATGCCAAAAAATTATAAATAATTAGCACTATAACCACCTGTAAGGATATTACGATTTTCCTTGCCGTTTAAAAGATAATTCGATTTTTCATACAAGTTTCATACAAATTTTTCGAAAAAGAATTATAACTCCTTCGTTTTTGAACATAATCAACTCGAGTGTCATATTTGTACATAGTAATAACTAAAAGAAGCAATATTCGGCAAAAAAACTGACACTTGCAAATTGAAATCCCTAAGTCTATGAAAGCCGATTTTCAGCCCACTGTGAGCCACTCCGGATGCACGCACAGTACCCTCCCTATTTTCCAGATAGGTACCGGAGCTGTAGGCACGCTCACTTCCCGTTGCGCATTGCACAACTAACGGTTGCCACCGCTAAGCCATCGACCCTAACGTCCAATACCAAATCTCCTCATTGGTGGCGGAACTGTAAGCCACGCTCACTTGCTTACAGTGTTGGGCGTTAATCAATTAAATTTCAATCAATAATTCAATCAGATTAAAAAATCAATTCAATTGAAATCAATTGCAATTAAATCAATTGCGACGCGTCGCAATTGATTTAATTGCAATTGATTTTAATTGCAATTGATTTTAATTGCAATTGATTTTACTTGCAATTGATTTTAATTGCAATTGATTTTAATTGCAATTGATTTTAATTGCAATTGA